CTTGAAAGCAAACTTAAAAAACCCAAACACTTGTTAAAGGGGAATGGGCTAAATAAATCGTTATCTATAATATTGAATTATAATACTATTCTTAAAAACAATTTCAAAATGGACTCACCATCTTCTGTGAAGTGAGGAAATGAGATTATAAAAACATACAATTCTTATTTATAATTGTTGACTTTGTTTCATATTTTTACATAAACATACAATATTTTCATAAATAAAAAAAGAACAACTCATAAATTTCTTCTTTTTTTTTATATCCCAAACAAGGATGGAGAATCAGATTCAAATTTCCAACTTGAACAGGTTCTTGATTGATATGTAGTCAACCAAAATTTGAAGTCTTCAGTTTTAAAACTAAGGGTTTGAACTCAACAATCCAAGATCCCAACTTTTTCTAACTCCATGATTGACCTGTCTAGAACATACATTTCTCCACCACATTACAGTTAATAAAGAACTTTGCCCTGTGCATCTCGTCCTTAGTATTTTAGCTATTATTTCCTCAGTACTACTTACCTCTGCTTCATGCACTTCTTTAAAAAAGCAGAGTAACAATAAAATCAGTTATACCAGACACTCTAAAGAGCTATGTGGTTCCTACTGTAAATTTATTTTGTAAAATATAGCCTGTGCTGAAAGCAGGGGTTTTTTTTTTGTTTTTGGTTTTTTGTTTTTTGGTTTTTTGCACAATACTTAAAAAAAAAATTTGTCACTGTTTAGTAGAAAGATATTTTATTCTGCTCCATTAAATAAAATGTTAAGAGTCATTCTGACCTGCCTGGTATACAATTTGGGTGTGTAGCAGTTAGCAAATATCTTGCCCTCTTGGTGAAAATAGATGAAAACAGGAGAAAAGAATGGAAACAGCAAAGCGGTGGGATGCAGGGGATCAAACATTCTGGATTGGGAATCAGAACATCAGGATTTTGGTCTCAGGTTCCCTCTTCTTAACTGGTTGTATACATAACCTTAGTGCTACGGTTTGAATTTTTGTCTCCTCCCAAACCCATGTGGAAAATGTAACTGCCATTGTAACAGTATTAAGAGGTGGGATCTGTAAGAAATGATTAGGCCCTAAGGTCTCCACCCTGATAGATGGGACTCGCGCAATAACGGAAGCACAAATTCAGCGACCTTCCACCTCTCGGCCCTTCTACCTTCCACCATGTCGACACACCCAGAAGGCCCTTGCCAAATGCCAGCACCTTGATATTGGACTTCCAGCCTCCAGAATTGTGAGCCAATATCTTTTTATTCAATATAAATTACCCAGTTTCAAATATGCTGCTATAGTAGCACAAAATGGACTAAGACACTTAAATTAATTAATCTCTCTGAGTCTCAGTTTTCTCATCTGTAAAATTAAGAAATTCTGTTAAAATAATCTTCAAGAATTCTTCCACTTAGAAAATTCTACCTTGAAAGAAGTTTTAGAAGAATGCATAGTTTAAAAGCAAAAAAAAAATAGTTTCATTCATATTTGTGTTCTACAAAACAGATGACAAAATCTCTATATTTGAAAGCCAATTATATTTAATAACTTTCTACTACATTTTGATTTAAAACTAATCAAAATGTCTGAGATAATGTTTAGCTGGAAACTTTTACAACACTATGATTATAGGGACAGTTTCAGTACTGGAGAGGGTTAGATGCTGAACTAGGGTAACAGGTTTGTGCCGTGACTTAGACACCAAATGCTCTCCTGAGAATGAGAAGAATCAATAGATGGAACTTCAGAAATCAGTGACGTCAAATATAAGCCTAACCCTCAGCTGAATTCTTCCCAAGTCAGGGCTTCGCCTTTTTGGAAGAAAAGAAAGAAAACAAAAACTTGAAAGTCCAGCGTTTTTCAATCCTGGCTACCACCTTAGAATCATGAGAGGAGTTTTTAAATAAACCCCTGGGGTAGCCCAGGTCCTACCCCATACCAAGGAAATCAGAATCTTAGGAGAGTCAGCCATAGGGGCTTTTTGAACTCTCCTGAGTAATTCTCTTGTGCCGTCAATTGAGAACCACTGAGTTAAATAAGAAACATGACATAAAGGAAGGAATGGGGACTGCCAAAGCAAAAAGGGGGCTTTCTCTTTTTTTTTCTTCTTTTTAATTGTATTTTAAGTTCTGGGATAAATGTGCAGAATGTGCAGCTGTTACATAGGCATACATGTGCCATGGTAGTTTGCTGCACACATCAAGCCATCATCTACATTAGGTATTTCTCTTAATGCTATCCCTCCCGTAGCCTCCCGCCCTGAGAGGCCCCAGGGTGTGATGTTCCCCTCCCTGTGCCCAAATGTCCTCATTGTTCAACTCCCACTTATGAGTGAGAACATGTGGTGTTCGGTTTTCTGTTCCTGTGTTAGTTTGCTGAGAATGATGGTTTCCAGCTTCATCCATGTCCCTGCAAATGACATAAACTCATTCTTTTTATGGCTGCATAGTATTCCATGGTGTATATGTGCCACATTTTCTTTATCCAGTCTGACATTGATGGGCATTTGGGTTGGGTCTTTGCTATTGTGAATAGTGCTGCAGTAAACATACGTGTGCATGTGTCTTTATATAGAATGATTTATAATCCTTTGGGTATATACCCAGTAATGGGATTGCTGGGTCAAATGGTTTCTAGCTCTAGATCCTTGAGGAATCACCACACTGTCTTCCACAATGGTTGAACTAATTTACACTCCCACCAACAGTGTAAAAGTGTTCCTATCTCTCTACATCCTCTCCAGCATCTGTTGTTTCCTGACTTTTTAATGATGGCCATTCCAACAGGCGTGAGACAGTATCTCGCGGTTCTGATTTGCATGTCTCTAATGATCAGTGATGAAGAGCTTTCTTTCATGTTTGTTGGCTGCATAAATGTCTTCTTTTGCAAAGTGTCTGTTTATTTCCTTATGGAGAAAGGATTCCCTATTTAACAAATGGTGTTGGGAAAACTGGCTGGCCATATGCAGAAAACTCAAACTGGACCACTTCCTTACAGCTTATACAAAAATTAACTCAAGATGGAATAAAGATTTAAATGTAAGACCTAAAACAATAAAAACCCTAGAAGAAAACCTAGGAAATACCATTCAGGACATAGACATGGGCAAAGACTTCGTGACTAAAACACCAAAAGCGAGGACAACAAAAGCCAAAATTGACAAATGGGATCTAATTAAACTAAAGAGCTTCTGCACAGCAAAAGAAACCATCATCGGAGTGAACAGGCAACCTACAGAATGAGAGAAAATGTTTGCAATCTATCCATCTGACACAGGGCTTCTATCCAGAATCTACAAGGAGCTTAAACAAATTTACAAGAAAAAAAAACAGGCTTTCTTTAGCAATATACGCTTGCTCTATGCTCTACACTATGCACAAAACAAGACCACAGGGGCTTACCCAGGAGAACTTGCATGACAGCAAAAACAAAGAAATTTTTTTGCAAAAAACAAGTATCTTGTTTAATCACATAAAGAAATTTTCACAAATCATAATCTCACAGTTGAGATTTAAAATCTCACAGTTGTCAAACATTAGTGGTTTCTTTCTTGTGATTTAAAAGTTGTAAATGTGGCAGGCGTGATGGCTCACACCTGTAATCCCAGCACTTTGGGAGGCTGAGGTGGGCAGATTACTTGAGGTTAGGAGTTCAAGTCCAGCCTGGCTAACATGGCAAAACTCTGTCTCTACCCAAAATACAAAAATTACCCAGGTGTGGTGGCGCACACCTGTAATCCCAGCTTCTTGGGAGCTGAGGCAGGGGAACTGCTAGAACCTGGGAGGCAGAGCTTGCAGTGAGCCAAGATCATGCCACTGCACTCCAGCCTAGGTGACAGAGCGAGATACTGTCTTAAAAAAAAAAATTGTAAATATGTATAACATAAAATGCGTTATTTTTAACCATTTCTAAGTATATGATTTAGTGGCATCAAGGACATTCCCAGTGTTGTGCAACTATCCCCATTGTCCGTTTCCAGAGTTTTTCATCATCCCAAACAGAGATGTTGTACCCCTTGAACAGTCACTCCCATCCTCCTTCCTTTCCACTTTTGGTCACCTCCATTCCACTTTTCTAGCCCTGCAAATTTGCTTATTCTAGGTAGTTTATATAAGTGAAATCATGCAACATTTGTCTTTTTAAAAACAAAGAAATTAAGAACAAGGATTGTTATGATTTTCTGAGGAAAGTGAAAACTTCTTTTAAAAATCAGACCAGGAACAAATTGCATCTTGGATAGTTAAGTGTTAACGTGAAGATTTCCTGGTTTTGCACACTCTTGTTGTACATTTTAATTTTATTTATCTATTTAGAGACAGAGTTTCATTCTTGTTGCCCAGACTGAAGTCCAGTGGTGCAATCTTAGCTCACTGCAACCTCTGCCTCCTGGATTCAATCAATTCTCCTGCCTCAGCCTCCCAAGTAGCTGGGATTACAGGCATGCAATACCATGCTCGGCTAATTTTGTATTTTTAGTAAAGATGGGGTTTCCCCATGTTGGCAAGGCTAGTCTCGAGCTCCTGACCTCAGGTGATCCACCTGCCTTAGCCTTTCAAAGAGCTAGGATTATAGGCATGAGCAACAGTGCCCAGCCCTATTGTACATTTTAATCATGCATGGTCACCCACTTCGTATGAGGTCAGCATTCTGGCCTCTGATTCCCTATCATGATTTCCAGTCCCCACATGAACCTTCTTACATTAACTTTTTAACCAAAACCTCTTCTGCATTAAATCACCAGCATTTTCCATATGTGTCCAGTGAAATACCTAACTCACCCCTTCTTCCAAATTTCCATTGCCTCAACCCTTACTTGAGACTGGATAAAAAAATAGAAAATAGGCCAGGTGTGGCAGCTCATTTCTGTAATTCCAGCACTTTAGGAGGCTGAGGCAGGTGGATTACTTGAGGTCAGGAGTTCAAGACCAGCCTGGGCAACATGATAAAACCCTATCTCCATTAAAAATACAAAAACTTAGCTGCATGTGGTGGCAGATACCTGTAATCCCAGCTACTCTGGAGGCTGAGGCAGGAGAATCGCTTGAACCTGGGAGGCAAAGGTTGCAGTAACCCAAGATCACGCCACTGCACTCCAGCCTGGGCAATAAAGCAAGATTCCATCTAAAAAAAAAAGAAAAGAAAAGACCTCAGAGTTGTACAGCCTTTTCTCTGGCTTTTTGTACTCAGAGTGAGCTTCCACACAAGCCTGGATCAACCTTTCTCGGATTCCATTCGCATCCCCAAAATACCATTTTGTACTTTTTCACCTATCCCATAAAACCTGAATATCTGCCTGCTAGCCCACCCCATCAGCCCCACTTATTTCTCCCTATAAAAAATACCTTCTCCAGCCAAGCCAATCTGTGGCCAGTGTTTTTTTGTTGTTGTTATTTATTTTATTTTGAGATGGAGTTTCTCTTTGTTGCCTGGGCTGGAGTGCAGTGGTGCAATCTTGGCTCACTGCAACCTTCGCCTCTCCAGTTCAAGCAATTTTCCTGTCTCAGCCTTCTGAGAAGCTGAGATTACAGGCACCTGCCAACACGCCTGGCTGATTTTTGTATTTTCAGTAGAAACAGGGTTTCACCATGTTGACCAGGCTGGTCTCGAACTCCTGACCTCAGATGATTCTCCCACCTTGGCCTCCCAAAGTGCTGGGATTACAGGCGTGAGCCACCAAGCCCGGTCTCTGTGGCCAGTCTTCTGAATGCAACATTCTATCCCTGCCTCTCTGTGAGGACTCATTCAGCAGTGCTAATTCCTTGGTAGTTAATAGCTACTAGTTAATAGTCACAAGTACCCACAGCTCCATAGCTGGCTTGAGCTGCCACGCACTCCTGTCAGCCCTTGTCTGCTCACACTGAGGGCAGAGAACAGACGGACTCTGCTTTCATATCTCTGAAAAAAATTGTTGGAAGAATCACTAGTCTTGCCCCACAAATCCCTCCTATCCTGAACTGAATTACTCGGTCTCCTTTTCCTAATATTTCAGCCTGTGGTTTTGGACTCGTGCCAGCCTCTTTCCACCCAGCCACTATTTCCCAGCCTCTTCACTGCCCACTTATGTTCTCCAGGCCTCCAACTGATGTCTCTGACTCCTACTTTCAGATCCCCTCTGACCCAGCCTCTTTCCACCCAGGCACTATTTCCCCAGCCTCTTCACTGCCCACTTATGTTCTCCAGGCCGCCAACTGATGTCTCTGACTCCTACTTTCAGATCCCCTCTGACCCAGCCTCTTTCCTCCAACTTGTTTTTACCTGCTCTTCCTGCCTCCAAAGTCCTGAACCTTTTTACTCACAACAAAAATTGCCCACCCATTTCCTATACTCTTCTCTCTGCCTCCTTTCAGGGATCTAAGGTCCGCTCACATTCATTCTTACATGTAACTGACTTCCTGACCATAACCCTTGCTATTCAGACCCTAAAACTCAGCACCTCTTCTGGTTAAACCAGACCCCTGGGCCTGACTTCTCTTGCTCTGCCCAGTTCTGGTGCTATCTGAGACCTAACATAGCAGGCCTTGAACAACATCTTCTGTAGATTTTGCTTCTCTTTGCCCACTGCTCTAGGCTGTAACCTCTAGGACTGTTTTAACATGCTAGTATAGGTGGAGTATCCGTAATCCAAAACTCCAATATTCAAAATGCTCCAAAATCCAAAACTTTTTGACGGCCAGCAGGACACTGAAAGGAAATGCTCAGTGAAGCACTTCGGATTTTGGATTTTCAGATTAGGGATGCTGAGCGGGTATAATGAAAATATTTCAAAATCTGAAATAATCCTGAAGCCAAAGCAATCTAGTCCCAAGCATTTTGGATAAGGGACACTCAGCTTGTATGGCTCTCCATCACTCAGCTCTTCTGTTCTTTTCGGCACTTCCTCTTCACGGGACAGATCATATTTTCCTTTTAGCATCTACTTTTTGTCCTGATTCCTTCTTTCATCTCTCCTGCCACTTCAGTCCTTCCCCAGAGAACAGTCATGCAGATAAATTTTGAAGTTTGATCTTTCCCCAAATCAAAGCACTATATTGGACTAGACATTAGCTCAAGATCCACTTCAACTCATTATCTTCTCATGGTAAGATGAGGGATAAGTCAACCAAAATTATATTAAAAATGAAATCTGAGAAACCCAGTGAAAAGCAGTTTGAATGTATAGTTCTTTCTTTACAGTCATTTACATAATGGTGTTATGGTTGTTTATTTAATGTACAGTTATGTATGGTTATTTATTTAATGATGACTTCGAGCCCCAAATTTTTTCTACATACTTACTCAGCTAATTCTATTAATGTACCAGTAAAGATCTAGAAAGATTTGGGCTTCTTTCATTTTAATCCTACAAATGCTCAACACTGTGGATGAAGGACACTTTTCCTAAATATAGACTATCTACATTGGTCATCTCTAACTATTTGTCATCATTCTAGACTTTTACAGTTGGAAGTTGGTGGTCAAAACAATAACCCAGCCCTACCAATACTGTGCAAAGGCCAAGGTAAGACTGTCACAAGCTGCTTACAGTTTTCAGTTTTGAAGGAAGACCACATGTAGCACCACTACCCATCCATGACTAATTTGTCCCCAGTGATCCAGAAACTGTTACCTGTTCTTGGCATACGATGCCTTGTTCAGGAACAGAAAAGTTCAAACAACATAACTTAACTTCAAACAAAATGTCAAAGTTATTCATTATTGCCAAACAACCATTCATTCCCCCACTCCCAAACTTCATTGTCTTCTGTGATATGCTATACTTCACCAAATGGAACCTTTCAATGTGACCAAAGCAAGCTTTTGAAAGTAGAACGAGTGAGATGGAGTGGCATTCCCCATCTTTGGTTGCCAGTACCTTTTACAAATAGTGAAATGGTTTTAGTCCAAATGGTTCTGACCACATCCTTCCAGAAGCCCTCTCTAACTCCCAAATAGCAATGTTCTGTACAACAACCCTGTTTCATCTAACTTCTTCCAACTTTACAAATACTTAATTAAACACCTACTTCATGCAAAGCATCGTGTCCCATCCAGTCTATCCCTCACTCTTATGTTAGAAAGCTTTCTCTTCACCAAGGATGTTAGGTGTGTTTGATTGGTTAAAAACCACCAGACACCATAGCATTAAGGATAATCATTCAAAGAGAAATTCACCCATAGAAATGGATGTAGGGATCAGTTTTCCAACTATAACCTCCACATCCCTATCCTTTGCCAACAGAGGAGATGAGAGATTATTCTTTTAAGATAATTAGATTCTGTTCTTAAGTTCTGCCCTTTACTCTTGGGTCTCATAAACAAGGGAAAAAGTGAAGATGCCAGGGTTCCTACTTGCACAAAAACGCTTGGAGTAAGAAAACAACCTGAGTCACTGGGTTGCCAGCCAGGAAGCCTCCCTGCTTTTACCTATTCACTGCCTCTCCATTAGGACGAAAGTAAAGTTTGCAGTTGCCTCCCAGCAGCTGCCTTCAAACATACGTGTTAGCCAAGGCAATTATCCTTGTCCATAGGCTTTCAGCTTTCTATAGAAGGAATGAGTGAAGATTGTGGCCACAGATGAGACAGTGTAATCATTTACCAGGGTTCCCAGAACAGAGCACCACAAAGTGAGTGACTTAAATATCAAAAATGTGTGATCTCACAGTTCTGGAGGCTGGAAGTCCAAAATCAAAGTACCAGCAGGGTTGGTTGCATCGAGGGCTGTGATAGAAAATCTGTTACATGCATCTCTGTAGCTTCTGGGGGTTTGCTGGCAATCTTTGGGGTTCGTTGTCTTATAGAAGCATCAAATCCACTCTGCCTTCATCATCACATGTCCTTCTCCCTATGTGTGTGTCTCTGTCCAAATTTTCCCTTTTTATAAGAACACCAGTTGGCCAGGTGCAATGGCTCACACCTGTAATCCCAGCTTTGGGAGGCTGAGGAGGGCGGATCATCTGAGGTTGGGAGTTTCAGACTAGCCTGATACAATATGGCGAAACCCCATCTCTACTAAAAACACAAAATTAGCTGGGTGTGGTGGTGCATGCCTGTAATCCCAGCTACTCAAGAGACTAAGGCAGGAGAAGCGCTTGAACCTGGGAGGTAGAGGTTGCGGTGAGCCAAGATCGCACCATTGCACTCCAGCCTGGGTAACAGAACAAAACTCCATCTCAAAAAAAAAAAAAAAAAGAAAGAAAAAGAAAGCCGGTCATACTGGAGTCCTTATAAAAGGACTAGCCAACCCTAATGACCTCATTTTAACTCCATTATCCCCGATAAGACCCCACCTCCAAATAAGGCCGTATTCTAAGATACTGGGGTTTAAGACCTCAATGTATCTTTTTTGAGGGGGACACAATTCAACTCATAACAGAGATATTTTAAGATCCTGGAGGAAAAGAGCGTTTAATAATTTAAGAAGCAGTAGATATGAGGCATAGTCAAATGAAGAGGAGGACCTTTTTATGAGCTGTGAGGAAGAGTAAGCCTTCTAGTAAGGCTTCGCAATTTGTCCACTTTACAACCGCCCAGAGCTTTTTCCTTTGCAATCTCCCTGTGGAGCAGTCCTTTAGCATTTGCGAATATGTTTTAAAGGCTGCATATCTGATAAGAATATAAAGTCTGTCATAGTTGATTTGCTAACTGGGATTTTCCAGGCAGCAGAATCCAACTTCGAATTGCTCTTTAGCATGCCGCTGATCCCATTCTTCTTAGCCCTTTTGTCTCTCCGGCCTCACTGCACTCAAAGCTCCCCTCAAAAGGGGCCTCTATCATAAATCCCCAGAGAAGTAGATAATGTCTGTTTGACAAATAGTTGAAGAATCTGCCCTAGATTTTGCTAAATTTTGCCTTAAAATTAAAATCTAAAGGAGAACTGAGTCTAGACACCACTCCCTTCTCTTGAACATATCCAGGCCACACAAAGCACCACCCTCCACTCTTTGTAATATGATGCAAAAGTTATTACTAAAGTTATTGGCAAGGCTGTTCTCTTCATTGCTTTATGACGGCATCAAGAAAGTTTGGAGAGATTCAGATTGGTGCATACATTGGAAAAGCCACTCCTGCATGACATTTGGGTGCCATGTCACAGCGCCCAGGACAATTGAGACCCCTATGGGTACCTCACTTCCTTTTGTTCC